CCCTCCTCCTCCTCCACCTATCCATCCTGCCTGCTCACAAAACCATGACCTTCACAATTTATAGAGAGGAAACCCCCGAGAGTCACGTCATATTTTAAAACATCCTCCTCTCCTTCTTCTTCTCCTTCTTCTTCTTCTCTCCCTGCTGCCACAATAGAGTCTTGATAAGCTGTATTTACACGGCGGCCTGTTATGATCTACTGCTTTTGTTTGACTCTGATAGATATTCTGATGTCGAGAGAAGAGGAGGAAAAAAAAGTCTCCCGTAAATGTCGAGCATGCCACTTTCTTTTTATATTTACATACAAATATGCAAATACTGATGATAATAATAATAACAATATTATTAATAATAATGGGGTAAGAATAACGATGACTAGTAAAAGAATAACTAAAATAGTTGCGTCAACCTTAGTTATGTTGCGTTTGAAAAAAATCTGTACAATTGCTGTAAAATGAATTCAAAACAAACAAAAATAAATTACGAATAAATGAAATTATAAACAAAACTATTTACTTAATTACTAATAAATAATTCAGAATAAATTACAAATAACTCACAAATAAAACTAGATTTATGATAATAAAATATACTATTATTATTAGTTTGCGGAATGTATATTAAATTGTAAATATAGTAAAATAAAAAATTTTAAAAAATGGGGAATTATCTTCACACAAAAATTTAAACTGACCCTGTAGCAGCTCCCACAATTTCTCGTAAAATTTCCACGATGACAGCCCGACAACCGGGACACGAGTGGGGTGAAATAAAGCGCCATGGTGGCTGGAAATCCTACCCACTGTTAATGACGATCAGAAGTCAGAAGACGGGGATAGGTTTTTCTGAGCGTCTCTCTCTCCCTCTCCCTCTCTTCTGCAGCACACATAAATCCATGTAGACGTGGAAGCGGAAGGCTCCCTGCGGAGAGCAGCTCTGAATAATCCATATTCATGCGCCCGACACGTGGAGTAAATATGAACGTGGTGGTTTTTGGGGTGGGTGTGTGGTTGGGTGGGTGTGTGGGTGGAGGGTTTGAAGGGAGAATCCAGTTGTGCGTATGCACATTTTCACCAGGTCAGAGGGCGAGACCGGCACCCACCTGCCCCATAGGTGTGCTTTCAGAGAAAGTGGAGCCAAGAAAGTGAGGAAGTTGTGCGGGGCCTTGTTAAAAGTAGAAACCCTGTGCGTGGTAAATGCGCTCAAAACCTCTGAAACAGGGTGGGTATAAATATGATTTCAGAGGTGCGTATTATTAATTTAAAAACAGTAAAAACGTTATGAAAAACAAACCCAAACACCTGTAAGTCTGGGTGGATGTATTCAAGCGTGAACGTCGCAGTCAAATAGACACACGTGTATTTATTTTTATTCAAACAGAAGCATTTACTGAAATATGAATCTCATTAAGTAACTGTTTTTTTTATTAGATTTCTTGCGCTCAAGCAGACTCTGCGTGTATGTGTGTGTGTCGGCGGCTGATTGAAGGCCCATGAAATATTTATCATCAAAAGTTTGGATTTATAGGAAAAATCTGGAGTCCCTCCACCCGCCCTCCACCCTGCTGAAGCCTGACTTTAAAGAGCGCATAGCTGTGACAACGAGCGGCTTTAATTGGCGCGGACGGGCGAGGCGAGCCTGTCGGGCCACCGTCGTCCCCAGAATCAATAGCGGGGAAAACGAAGCGCTCCCAGCTCCCGGGGCCTACCGGTGCGCGCGCGCACACCTACATGCATGCACACCCGCGTGCTACTGCTGCCAACACGGCTATGAAAACCCATGAAAAAGGCAAAGCTGTTGGAGAATAGGCGGATCAAAACCCATTATGAGATTTGAAACTCTTTTTTCCCCCTCCTGTGTGTGTTTCTTGTGTCGCCCTTTGGTTAAAAATGTCTCTCTAGATTGGGATATTTGTGCAAGAGCAAACTGTTGGATGCTCTCAAAGCTATTTTTCTTCTTCTTCCTCTTCTTTGTGTGTGTCTGTGTCTTTTTTTTGGTTGGAATCCATAAACGCAATGTAAACGCACAAGTGTGGGATTTGTTGCAGAGGAACCTCGATTGTTCCTGCCTGTGCTGAAGGTCTTATCTCGGCGAGTCACGTGACTTTCTCTTTGGGTTTTTTTTTTTATGCAGAGGAGCACAGGAACTGCATGCATAATGAGCGCGTGCAATAGATAGGCCAAACTAGAACCTCGCGGTATTTTATTTTTATTTTATTTTAATGTTTACTGTCTCATAAGCACGCCCACATATTTATTTATTTATTTGTAATTTAAACACAATTAAACAAGCAGCCCGGCACCTTTTAAAATATTTTAATTAATTATATTATTTTTTAAAAGGCAAAAATGCACGAGAGAGGGTGTAAAGTTTTTTTTTTTGTTTGTTTTGTTTTTGCTGGCTTCACGTGCAGCAGCGTGCCTCCTCTGCTGCCACTTTTACTAATGGAGACAAAGAAAAATGATGCCCACTTCTCTCTATATCATTGAATTCAGTTGCTAAGCAACTAGTATAGGGAAATCATCCGCGAAATTCAAAATCCTGCAGCGCGAGGACACGTTTGGTGAGTTTTTGCTGAATAGGCGAGCAAGACAACTCCAGAAAAAAAGTGAAATAAACAAAATATCTATATATTTTGTATATTTTCAGTACAAATTAAAAAAAAAAAAGTTTGAAAGACAGGGACACGTTTTCATGGTGATAAAATTTGCATGATAACAACAACAATAATAAAAATAATTTAGATTTACTACAGGACGATAAACATTACAAGATGCTTTCTTTGGTCTGCGCAGGCGCTATTAGTGATATTGTTTGGCTAGTATATTTCCCTGTCAGACTGCACCGTGCTGAGGCTGTGGACACACTCGGTGCTTAAAAACCTCAGTGACCCACTGCCCCGGATCCTAAAACAACATGTCAGCCCCACTGGGTTTATGGAGCCCGTGGACCCAAACACACCTGCACAGCGAGGGGCAGAGGAGAGCCAGGCAGCCGGCTTATAAAGTCTAACTTAAGGAAATCATTGTGCGGATTAGCCTCTCGTAATGTTGAGCAGAATTAAAGCAGGAGGATGAAAAAAAATCCCCAAACATGATGCTGAGTGTGTTTATCTGGACTGCGAGCTTAAATATTACATAACACACAACCCCAGAACATCAGGAGGCTCCACACAACAGCGACACTAACCCACAGCGCCCTACTGTACCTGTATTACACACACACACACACACACACACACACACACACACACACACACACACACACACACACACACACACACACACACACATATGTATATATATGTGTGTGTGTGTGTGTGAATATACAAAACAGCAGAATTACTGTAAAACCACAGTCGTTTGTTTTAAAACTACACAATAGAGACACTCGTTTTAATCCTATTTACTTATTTCTGTTTTAAATATAAGTAGGAACCATTTCCCAGCCTGAAGGCTAACTTTCCTGCTTTTTGCGCAGGCCCTGAAGAGGCAGCAGATGTAAACAAACAGCCAGACGAGCACATGCACTGTGCAGGCCTGCAGCTGACCGCGATGTTCCACTCACACACACACAGTTAAGGCATGATGACGATGATGAGAACACTACTGCACCTTTACCCCATCATCACGCACTCTTACTACATCAACAAATCCCGACGCTGTTTTTTAAAAAAAAATAAATGAATCCCGCGTTTTATTATTATTCTGCAGCTGTGCACGCAAATAACAGCATCTGGATTATTTTTGAGCTTTTGTGTTAAATACATGAGTAAATAAAAGTGGAAAACACAACATGACTGCGTTTCATTCTAACAAATTTATTGTGTCTCAATCAGCTCGTACGGAACCACTACTGAAATTAAATTACAATCAAACTGATCACATCAAAATATACCCTTATTACCTAACAACGGTCAGCTTATGGTGATTTGTGCTCCTTTAGAAAACAAAATTAAACAAATAAGGGCAAATTTTTTTATATATATGTAAATATATATACATATATATTTACACATATTTTTAAAAAAAAAAACAATAAAAACAAGAGAGGGGAAAGCATCTTACACAAGTTCCTTGAGGAGGAGGAAGGGGTGGGGAGGGTGGGGGGCAAGAAAAATAAATTACCGTGTTGAAAGTATTCCCAATAAAATATTAAAACAAGTCATTTTTGGATGAAAAATATAAAGTAAATAACTCAGATCAGTATCTGATCTAGTGATCTATATTGCCGCCTTTACAGTTTTTTTTTCATTTTCTTTTCTTTTTGTTTATTAAAACCTACCAAAGAATACTGCTTACAAAGGGCAGCATTAATAGGATATCCACAGCACCCACTCAGTCACACTTGGCAACAGAATTTTTTTTTCTTTTTTTGTCCTTTTTCTCTCAAAGAAGTGCAGCTGGAGTCTTTTGCAAATGTCTCTATTTGTTGATGAGGGGGGAAAAATATATATATATATGTGTTTTTATATGAAGAAGAAAAAATCCACTCGTGGTGTCCATTAAATAATAATAATAATAATATTAATAATAATAATAATAGGTAGAATCGAAGAAGCTCCCACGTGAAGGATTTTGTATTTTTTTTTCAGGTCAGTCCTGGTCCTGCTCGTCTTTTCTTTCTCGTGAGGGGCCTCAAAGATGGCAAACAAAAAAGGCAAGGAGAAGAAAAAAATATATCCCTAATTCTCCATAAGTGAAACCATGCAGTCCACCTCAAAAAGAAGCTGCAAATGATAAAGGAAGCCTCGTGGATGTCACTCTTCTTCACACAGTTGCAGTTTTTACCCCCCCTCTTGTCTCTCTTGTTATTGTTGGGCATGGAGAAGTAGAAAGGGGCGGTTCAGTCCCATTTCTGAATATACAAAAAATAATTAAAATGTAAAAGCCCCAAAAAGAAAAAAAGAGCGTCCTTTGTTGTTTCTTCAGTCAAACACAGGAAAATGAGAAATGAGGGGTGATATTTTTTAATTTGTCCTTTTTTGTTTTATGGGGATTTGGAGGGACAGAGAATTTTCTTTTTCTTTCTTTCTTTTTTTTTTAAACGGAATCATCATCGTCATAATCATAGTAATAATAATGATAATAATAATAAAAAATACTTGGGTTTCCTCTTGGTTGTTGTCTCAATGCGCCAAAATTACCTGGTGGAATGAACTTGTGGTTGTCACCCTCTGGTCGCTCGCTTCACTTGCATCATCTTTTAAGTAATCTACTAAAAAATGCCCCTGAAAGAAAAAAGCAGAAGGAACCTTTTAGGTAAAGACATTTCTTTAAGGGCCTGGAAGAAGAGAGGGGGGAGGACACAAAAAGAAAAAAAGAAGGGAAGGGGTGAAGGTTTTTTGTTTCTGGTGAAAAATAGATAACACATTTTTGTTTTTTTGTATTTTTCTTGTTTTTGTTTTGCAGTCTCATTCATATTCCCTCACAATCACAGTATCAAAAAAATGTTTTTTGCTGTCTTTTTTCTGTTTTTTTGTCTATCTTGGCGATAGTCTGTATGGTGTTGCTTTTATGTCCTAAACAGTTTTAATTTGATATAAAATATTCTGCTGTGCTGTTTCTATGTTTCACTGAACATTCGTTTGCAGTCCATGGAGGGGGGCGGTGTTTCTGCACTCACATTGCCGACCTGAGAGTACACATCCTCCGGCGTCTGCGCCACTCCCGGGGGCGTCATCCGTTTTTCCTTCTGTCTCCTATTGCAAAACCACACTCTAACCACCTCCTTCTCCAGCTGCAAGTTGTCCGCCAGGCTGCTGATCTCCTGGGCCGAGGGCTTGGGGCATTTTAGAAAGTGGCTCTCCAGAGCCCCCTTGACGCTCACCTCGATGGACGTGCGCTTCTTTCGCTTCCTCCCCTGCGCCGCGATCTTGTCGATGCTGGTAGGGCTGCCCGTGGAAGAGTCGGCCTCCTCGAGCCACTTGTTCAACAAAGGCTTCAGCTTGCACATGTTCTTGAAGCTGAGCTGCAGAGCCTCGAACCTGCAAATGGTGGTCTGCGAGAAGACGTTCCCATACAGGGTGCCCAGAGCCAGGCCCACGTCTGCTTGCGTGAAGCCCAGCTTGATCCGCCGCTGCTTGAACTGCTTGGCGAACTGCTCCAGGTCGTCCGAGGTCGGCGTGTCGTCGTCCGAGTGCGGGTCGTGGCTGTTGACACCTCCGCCTCCTCCGCCTCCGTGGTGCTGGTGGTGCGGATGCTGGTGGTGATGGTGATGGTGGTGGCTGCCGTGGTCCAGGTCCGGGGTGTTCCCCCTCACCAGCCCTGGGTGCACCAGGCTCTGTCCGCCCGGGCTCAGCATGCCGTTGACAGTGAAGCCTCCGGGCTGGGAGTAGATGAGCGACTGCTGCTGCTGCTGGCCCCCGGAGATGGAGTTGATGTGAGCCGCCGTGGTGCTGCCCCAGCTCCCGGCGTGAGTCTGATGGGGAGCTAGGTGGGGGGGCCTGTGGTGTAGAGCCGTGCCCGTGTGCAGGTCGTCTCTGCCGGATCCTTTCACGTCCTGCTGCTGCGGGCTGCCCGTCATCCCGACCGGGCTCGACGACCAGGGGGACCCGGCTTCCGCCGCGGCCACAGCGGCCGCCGCTGCGGCCGCGGCGGCGTGCGGGAGGGACGTCACCCACTGGTGGGCATGGCTCAGCATGTGCCCCCCGTTGCTCGCTGCCATGGCGCCCTGCATAAAGTCACTCTGAACCATCTTGACCGTGGGGTCCCCCCTGTAGCCCCCAGACCCGGAGGTAACCGCAGCGCTGCCCGGCTGCATGCCACCACCTCCGGAGTCAGAGTGCACGATGGAGCCGGACGATAAGATGCTATTGGTGGGGAGATAAGGATTGGAAGCCGCGGTGGCCATTCCGTCAGCCCCTTATGAATATGTTTGTGGATAACCCCCCTCCCTTTCTCTCTTTCTCTTTCTTCCCCCTTTTTTCTTCTTCTTTTTTTCTAAAACCGTCACTTCTCTCGAGCAGGCAAATCGTATCTCATGAATTATTCAAACTTTTAAAAGTACGGGGAGGGTTTTTTTCTCTTTGGCAAACACCATCGGAAAAATAAAATAAAAATCCTGGAGTAGAAAAAAAGTGGATAAAATCCTCTCGTGTTTACAACATTCTACTGCAGGGATTAAAACATCCACGTCTTTCAGAAGCCCTTTTTCAAACCATGTGCTGTCCGGCTCGAAAGTTTCTGGCTGGGGTGAGACTGCGAACATTAAAAATTCAAATAAGAAAAACGGCACGCGCTTGTCCCGAAGCAAACTTTCGGTGGCCGCAGAAAACAAACAAAACACACGAAGAAGAAGGAAAAAAAAAAAAAGAACAGCCTCGCAAATTCTCCACAGTGTACAAAGTCCCGGTTTATGTCCCCGTGTAGATGTGGAAACCATGAGCGGAGTGTCCTCAGTTCTTTTGTAATTCAGTCGCTGAGATTTCTCCCCTCGCTTTCTTCTTTTTCTCCTCTCTTGTTTCCCGGCGCTGTGGCCGTGCTCGAGCCCGTCTCTTTGTTCTGTTTTGATGTGTATAAACCTGCCAAACCGCAAACTCCCGTTCAAGTACAATCCAGTGGAACAGTGCGCGGCGCTGCTCGCGAGCCTCTTCTCTCATTCGCTTGTTCTCTCACTCTCTCTCCCCCTGCCTCTCTCTCACTATATCTCTCTCTCTCTCTTCCAGACAGCCCCGCCCCCCTCCAACACCCCCCAAGTCCTCTACCCTCCCCACCTCCCAGCCAGAGGACGCGGTGTTTTACCCCCGTGCGTCCGCATTGATTGGTTACCCGGGGCGTGATTGGCAGATTTTTTTTTTTTTGCCAGCCTTGCTCCGGGCGCACGAGCCCTCCTTCCGGCTGTTCCGATTGGCTGATTTTTAATTGCAGTCCAAACAAAACCTGGGGTACAACTTGGTAGTAAATAGTGGTGAGATGCTAGTACACAAACGGGATGAGGAGCGCGGGGGAAATAAAGTTTGGATAAACTGACATTTAAACCATAATCAAGATAAACGCTCTCTGGTGTCTTCCACGTGTGTCTTTACAGACAAATATGCACGTTTTAGTGGATAAGAAGATTAGTTTTGGGGAGTCACTCCTCTCTGGGACAGAAGTGTACAAAAAAGGGCTTTACAGTCTCAGGATTGTGGGGTTTGTCTAAATCCACCTGCTGAAGAGAGCAAACAAAGAAGCAAAAAACAGGCTCAGGTGAGACTGCCATCCTGTATCTTACATCCAGTTAACAGATGTGGGCGATTGATACAAATATCAATAATAATGATATAAACACTGGTATCGATATCAGATTGAAACTAGCACAATAGGGTTGATATTTTGTATTTATCCTCCAAGTTCAGTATGTAGCCTGCTGAAGAGTGTTAGTTCTAGTTTTTTTGGGGGTGGGGGGGT